CACACACACACACACACACACACACACACACACACACAAAGGCAAAAATATTCAGTGACTCATTTCCTATTTCATTTTATATTCCTGGAATTCCAGCCAAGATCTTTTCATGTGTCAAATCGAGCTATTGCATCCGCTGACTATCTATTCTTCGCCCACGGAGATGACAGCGTCTATATTATCCAGTCATTCTCTTCATCTCAGTAACAGTTTCCTTTCTGTTCAAGTTTTGAATGTCAAATATATGAACAGCCCAAATCCAATTTGTCATCTTCGCTGGAAGCCTGTCCCTTTCTCACACTCACAATTGACTTTCTACATTTTAACTTATTTCCTTTTCACGTTTCACAGTCTATTTTTCAATCTATGTATTATCTACCTTGTCTTTTCTTGTTCCGACACTTATTCTTTCTGCACTTCTGTCAGAAAGTAAAGCCCACTTGACATAGGACTGACAGTCATCTTGTGTCAGTTCAAAGTGTTTTATCAATTGACGGCCTCTGTCTCAATCCACCTCTGTCTCACCTCTCTGTCTCACCTCTCTGTCTCACCTCTCTGTCTCACCTCTCTGTCTCTATAGTATCCCCGGTTCGGCGGTGTGTGCCTTCGACATGGAGCAGCTGGCTGGGGTGTTCGAAGGGAGGTTTAAGGAGCAGAAATCACCCGAGTCCATTTGGACACCTGTTCAAGATGAAGTCATCCCGAAGCCAAGGTGCAGATGGCTGTAATCAATTAATGCACCAGTATTCAGGCTGTTATCAGAGGACTGTATTATGAACAACCTGTCTTCAATTCACTCATTAGCTGTTCTTGAGAGGTGTGTTTCGCAGGTTTCCGGGTGTGATTTCATGACAAAAGGAAATACACACCGTGCAAGCAACAATGCGTTTACCGTTTCACCACTCGTGAAGATGCTACTCTTTTTAAAAAGTTTTATTTACACGGTGATACAAGTTGATTATACGCACATGTAATGTAGAATGCAGGAAGATTATGCACATGATATTACAGTCTGTAGATGCTTCTGAATATTACATGGCGGGAGATTCGTTTTTCACAAGGATACAGCTGATCTATCCGCTAATCTAAAGACACATCTCGTGCAAATATTCCATCACTTGCCAAATACTTCAAACATGAGGTTCTTTTAACGAAATCAAATCAGTCTCTTGTTAAAAAGTGGTATGTGTCTGAATGTGAGAAACTCAGACAGGCTAGACTTTTTCATTATATAAACATATCTTTACTGAGGACTGAAGTAGTCATAAAAGAGGATGCCTCTGTACCATCTGCTAAACATCTGCTGAAACTTGTTGTCCCCAGACCCGGTGGCTGTGCTGTTCAAGGTACCAAGTTTAATTCCTCGAACTCGTTCCCCGATGAGATGCTCAACTTCGTCAAGACCCATCCTCTGATGGATGAGACTGTCCCGTCACTCGGGCAAAGACCCTGGATTGTCAGAACCATGGTCAGGTGAGACAGGCAGTCAAACACCAACCCTGTCTCCTAGTAACATATCACGAGGAGACAGGGAACGTTGAATATCTGACAAGTTGCAAAATGTTCACATTGAACATATTTGCAAAAAAATCATTGTTTTTCCTACAATATAATATGTAACTAAAGTATTATTGAGGTTTGTTCATGCTTATTTTTAGGTTTCTTAAGGTTGGGGAAAGATTGCGGTCTTGGTTAAATATTGAAAAAGGGTATATTTACTTTTCTTAACATTTACTGTAACAGAAACCATGATAATACCCTAAATGTGATGTTATGAATGCCAACCATTCCCCCTGACCACCTCTGAATGACTTCCATTCAGTACTAAAACTTTGTTACATTTGAACGTAATCCAGGCAGCAATTACCTTTCCATCAAGACATATTTAGCAAAACATAATTTCTTTTCAAAAAAGGGTTTCTGGTAAGTTTTAACTGTCAAACTATGCATGCTGGGTAGTCTGCTAAATGTATTTAATTTGATGGGATAAGTGAAGACTCTACAGGAAGTTAATTCATGATTTCAAGTGATTTTATTAGTTCTGAAAGGGTCTGAAAATGAAAACAAGAATTTTTTATTTGATTCAACTTAATTAGGGGGACCGCCCCATCCTGGCCAATTAGTCGACTAATCGGTCGTTTTGGTCTTAGTCGATTGACGACTTATTGTGTTGAAACTTGTTGAATTTTTTTCAGTGACAGCATTGCAAACAAACACATGGCCTGTCTGTTTGGGCTGTGAACGCAGTCTGTTGAAGTTAAACTGGTTTGGTGTTAAAGCCTCTAGTAGCAGACAGCAGCTGTAGCACATCAAGTCTCACATAAATGCACGCATGCCTCTCTCTCTCTGTCTGTCTGTCTCTCTTTCTCTCCACTACCATATGTATTCCCGCTGCCGACCAGCCAGCGGGGGATTATGGGGACTGGATGTATGTGGAATATTAAACAGCCGGCACAACATGGCTTCTATTGTCGTCTACACGGGGCTGTGTGTAGTTCAGCAACACTCTGCTATTGTTCCAAGGCCGGCACATTTACTTGACTGATATTATTAATGACTCAACGTTTGCCGTAATTAGTTTATTATGCAAATTTGATGAGCAGTTTCTTCTCTGTGGAATTAATTAAATTTTGCAGTGACTCAAGATAAAATGGCACATTATGATTTAAATACACAAGAGTCTGTATTTTACACCTAAACCAATCACTTATTGCACTTAAATCATACATTTGTATCTTAGAGCTACTTGATTACATGCTTTTATCTTTTATGGAAGAAAAGTCCCAAATGAGTCTCACAGCTCTGTGGCATTAATGCAGTGCCCTATCTCTCCAGGTACCAGCTGAATAAGATTGTGGTGGATTCAGAAGCCGGGCCTTATAGAAACCAGACCGTCCTGTTCCTCGGGTCGAGCAGAGGGACCATCCTCAAGTTCCTCATCATGCCCAACCAGGACAACACCGTCACCAACAGCAACATCTTCCTGGAGGAACTGGAGGGATTCAACCCTGATAAGTAAGACGTTAAAGCTAACAGACAGGAAATGGACAAATGTTTTGCACTGTTAAAGGAACAGTTTGAACATTTTTGGAAATATGTGTATTAGCTTTTGTTGCCAAGAGTTAGATGAGAAGATTGATACCGCTCTCAAATCCGTAGGTTAGATATGAAGCTACAGCTGTCGAGCTGAGCTTAGCACTGGAAACAAGGTTAAACAGCTAGCCTAGCCACGTACCAGAACCTCTAAAACGCACAAATGAATACGTTATCTACTTTGTTTGATTCCTAAAAGTGTAAAAACGTCACATTGTGGCTTTTATGTGTGACTATTCTTTTCAGTATTTCCTGGGGTCATGTTGTCACTGTGAGGTTGTTATATAACATGTTAATTAGAGAGCTTTAGAGGTGCTGATTGGTTTATTTTTATTTTCAGAGCCAGGCTAGCTGTTTTCCCTTGTTTTCAGTCTTTATGCTAAGCTAAGCTAAATGGCTGCTGGAGGTAGACTGTTGTGCAGACATGAGAGTGGTGTCAATCTGTTCATCTAATTCTCAGCAAGGCAAACAAGCGTATTTTTGTCCCCCAAATGCCAAACTATTTATTTATGGCACAAACTTGTGCAGTTAGAGAGCTTGATATAAAATAGCTCAAGACATATACTGTACAGCAGGGGAGGGGAGGAAAGGGTTAACTGACATATATATACACAGCGAGGGGAGCTGGTGCTGTGCTAAGCCTAGAAAAAGAGTCGCAAAGGAAAAAAAAAAAGGCATGACATGTCCTGGAAACATGATGTGTCCTGAATTATGCAGAAAGCCTCACCTATTCTTCGAGGGATGCACATAATTGTGCAGGAGCTGAGAGGATACAACCCCATGCAGAGAATACAAATAGGGCAAACAGAAAAGAATAAGATTAAAGGCAAATATTCATTATCGGGAGATCCGAACATGTTCTAATGAGGTGGAGAAATACTGTAGAATGGCATTAGGGCAAAAAAAAACATCAGAAAGTAATGAAATGATAAAATCGCATTATCCTTTTAATCTTGACCAAAATGACCTCTTATATTCAGTCTGAAGCTAAATCATATTCAATTTCTGGATCTTGACAAAAGATTGGAGTGGGCTTCTTGTCCCACTCTAATTAGCATTTTGCATGAGGCAGGCAGCTTCCAGGTTTCATTGGATGCCCACCACTACGTAATGAACACTGGGTACAATGCCTTTTCAATCTTTATTTAAGCTTTTGTTCTCTCTTGAGATGCAGTGTTCCACACGGTGGATGGCTGCAGGGTGGGGGAAAGACGATTGTCACACAGATGCAGGAAGATTTGGCTGGTGATTATCTTTCACCAGGGCTAATTAGAGGCATTTAAAAAAGAAAAACATGTTTCTAAACACTAGCTTCCTGTCATGGTAATTGTGCCCCCTGATATATATACCTTTTGTTCTGCAATAAGGGAGAATAAAGGATTATTTCTATAACCAACTAGCTGGAACACACTTCCTCCCTACAGTAGAGTCCGATTTACTCGTTGAAATACTCAACTTCCTTTCTTTCCCAACCCCACTAAAATATGCTCACCAATTTGTGCCTCAGCTTATTTGTTCAGACTTGACAAAATGAGGGATAGTGATGGGAGGTGAAAATGATGTGTGATGAATGAGCTGCTCTGGACTGGAGCCAGTGTGCGAGGGATAATTTGGTGTGCATGGTAAGCCCAGCACGAGGTCAGTGACAGTCCGGCTATCACAGCAGGCACCCGGCCAATCAGGAGCCCGAGCACAGTCACATCAGGTCTTTTTTTTACCCTTTTATGCTCCAGGCCGGGCCAACCCCAACCTCACCTTACATACACAGACAAAGAGATGCCTTGTGCCCTGTAGTAAACCCCAGGGAACACAGGAGCAGGGCCACTAACGCAGTCATCTTTTAGGAAGTCAGCGCAGAGAAATCACTGCTTTGTGATTGGCCGGTTGCTGTAATGAACCTGGAAACGAGATAGACACACCACCAATAGAGCCTGTATCTTCTCCTAATTTCTCCATCCTTCTGATCATGGTTCTGTTTTTCGTATTTTCTTCTCATGAGTCTCCCATCTTTGTTTCCCTTTCCTGCGTTGGTTGTTTATTGTATTGTTTTGCTCTCCCTACATATCTCCCCCTTCCTTTCCCCTGCTTTTCGTGATATAGGCTGTGAAGAATGGCTCACAGCTTGGCTTTAGCAGAATGATAGATTCTTCCTAATGACTGTGGGTCCGCCACAATGTCATTACCATAAACCATCCAGATACAACTGGTGCATGAGTGCACATATGCATAAAAAGGTATAAATCCGCTGCACGGAGGCAGGTCGGTGCCGGCTATCGTAGCTCTAAGTGGCAATTAGACGCGATTCAGCTGCTGGCTGCCGTTTTTTGATGACCAGCGGACCGCTCGAACCTTTACAATCAGCACAGTGCATATTTGGATCGACAATGTCACATCTGGCTCCACGGCCACCTCTCATCTCTTTCCCTTTCATTATGGCCTTTATTTGAAGAGCTGTTTATGTTTGGTTCTTTCGTGAGGAATGTTTTTTTGCCCTGCTGAAATGCTCAGCGAGGTCAGTGGTTTAATGTGCAGTCTCGGTCTGGTAATTGAAATGACCTCATGCATTTTTTGCGTTTTGTGTGTGTTGCAGGTGTGCTGAAGACTCTCTGCAGGCCAGGCAGCTGTTGTCTCTGACTCTGGATCGGGTTAGCCATACTCTGCTTCTCGCCTTCCCCTCCTGTGTGGTCAGAGTACCAGTGGCACGATGCCAGCTCTACTCCCGGTGCATGAAGTAAGTCTGCACCAAACGCTGTACGTAGGGGAACTTTAAAAGGCTGCAGGGCCGCATAATAAGAAGCGAGGGGACCTTTCAAGAACAAGTGTCCTTGAGCATGACACTGAACCTCTGCCAGCTCCGAGGTTGCTGCTCTGTAGCTGACCTGAATTTTTCCTGCAATGATAACCACACTACAACTTAATAACAACTGTCACTGTGCCCTTGAGCAAAGTGATAATGTGTTAACTGCCTTATATACTGAAATGAGTCAAAATGCAATAAATGCGCCAGTAAATTGTAATAAAAGCTGTTAGTGTAATACTTTACCGTTAAATGTAACGCTGTTATTACCATTGACTGCAATCTTTATTTTTATTATAGATACACCATCATTTTAACAGATAATAATAAAAGTAGTTTCTGGCAGCGTAAAGCATTATATGGTGAATAAATGACAATAATAAACGATAATGAAGCTTATGACAATAATAAGCACGTAACAAATCTTTTATCCATATAAAGAACCTTTTACATTTAATTGTAACAGGTTCTTTTTTAAGCTGTTGTGTTGTCAAATGTGTCTGTGTTTTAAAATGTTTTCTTGTTACTTTTCTGATGATTCATTTAATGTAACGCAGCAGTCTGTAGCACTGTGAATAAGACCGACTACCCCCCAGGGACAATAAAGTTAACTCTGCACTATAATAGTTGAATAATATTCGATCATCATCAGTTCTAGTACCGTATAAGGCATAATCATAATGAAATGTGTTAATAATTGATGAGATATTGTTTAATATAGCAGCTATTTTATATATTTCTTCACCTCATCTTGCAGTTATAAGATTATCAGAAGCTCCAAGTGAAGTTTGGTATTCAGGCAGTTTGCCAGAATGAATTTGTTTAACGGAAACGGAAGGTACAGCGATACCCTGAGTCCACTAATCCTACATAATTAAACGTAGAAATGCATATATTCAAAGTAATAATGTCTCACCTGCATACACCCACACAAGCACCACGATACAGACTCCCTCTCCCTCGCTGGCACATTTACTGGGTCTACTGACACACTAACACAAGCCGGTGCACATCAGGCGTGCACAAGTGCACAAGTGTGTTCACTGAACCAGGTGAGTCACACAAGCGTGTAATCCAGAGCACATTAGGAAACGCTCACGTTCTTCCTGAGGTGCATTTAGTTTGTGAGTGTATGTGTTTAGATCGGAGACTGAGAGTTAACGTTTTGTATGTTCGAGATTTCTTAGTCACGCTTCAGCAGCTTCAGGTCTGGTTTTTAACCTTCGAAGAGTGGTTGTGAGTGCTTCCTTTCCACACAGCTTCCAGTCTACATTGTTGGCTGTTTTTTCTTTAAATCTTTAATAATTCAACATTTTACAGTCTGCTTTCCAATTCATACAGTTGCAGATTGACATTTTAACCTCGTTTAACCCCACTTGCAGACCCGTCATTAAAAAGTAATGTTGTGCACACACAGATATCAGAGGTTTTACATTTAATCAGTCAACAACGATTAATCCATTTTAGGCTACTTGACATCTCTGCCATCCATCAGGTACTGCAGGTTTTTAGAATGATTCCCTTTTAGGCACACAGCAATTTCTATTCATGATGCTAGGTTTAAAAAATGTACTGACAGAGACTTGAATTTGTCTTGAGATCAGTAATCCTAAACGGTGAACATCACTGAGTTTGTGTTTTGTTATTCAGCCTAACATTATCATTCTAGTCGTGAACAGAGAGCATTTCATTTTAAAAACTCTTTGTTGCTGCAATCAAGGGCTTTCTAACATCTGATGTTTAAGAAGTGGAGTTGAAATATACGTCATTCATGAACCATGTTGTCTGAAAATCAAACTCAAGAGACAAATGGCCACTAACTCGGACATTGTGAATCTGTTATTGTGAGGAAAATGTGGTGAGTTCTTGCATATAACAGGTTGCTAGGACAGAATAAATCCCACAATGTCTCTATATCCTAGTGTACTTCATTTGAAGTACACTACTAAGCCTTTTCCAAAACTTTTATCTGGATCTCCATCCTCTAGTCAAGAATTAACTTTCATGCTTCATTGCGAGAACTAAGTATTTTAAACGATTAAAGGGCCGGTGTTAAGCATTTCACGGATCTGTTAGCCGAAATGGAATATATTAATCATAGTTGTGTTTTCACTAGTGTTTAATCTCCTGAAACTAAGACTTGTTGTGTTTTCTTTGACTTAGAATGAGCCGTTCATGTCTATATCGGAAGTGGCTCATCTTCACACAGTCCTTCATGTTTTACCACCAAGTGTCTACAGTAGCCCAGAATGGACAAACCAAGCACCGGCCTTTCACATTTTTAAGGCTTGTGGCTTTTAGGCTTTTAAGGCTTTTAGGCTTGTGAAACTGTGGTAAAGTGAGCCGCAGAGTGAAAAACTGTGGTGTCGCCAGCCGCCGCCTGACTCACGTTGCTTCTACAGTGGAGTTATTTTGGTATGAATGGCCTCTGAGCGAGGCGAACGGCGTTACCACAGTTTTGTACCTGGTGGCTCTTTAACCACATGTCTTGGAGAGGCAGAAGAGAGCGGAGGGCTCTTCAGTTGGTTACAATCTTCAACCACCCTGCAAGATGCCACCAAATCCTACACACTCTCCCTTTAACAAACAAGAAAGCATTTGAAATCCAATCTGATTCTGCTCTCAGCTACACGTCCAACCTGCCCAATATTGAAGTAGATGACAAAATATTCCCTGTGATGAATTACATCATCGAGCAAGTTTCAAGTCTTAAGAAGTTTGATATGAAGAGCTAAGTAGGAAATCAATATAAAATAGATTTCTAGTTGATGGGCACAGATGTGCAAAAATAATTCATGACGAGATATCCTGACTTCTAGTAATAGACTCGTTGACTAATCTAATATCAAAGAAAATCCCTAATTTAATCAGAAATGAAAATACTGTGAGTTGCAAGCCCTTGTGTGAAATACATGCAAATCGAGCAAATTACATTTACATGTAAGCTACATGAATACATTTAAGCTACATTCATTTAAAGTGAAATAGGGATTATTTGTGGTTCATTGAGTATCTTTTTGTGTCTCTGCAGGAACTGTATCGCCTCCAGGGATCCTTACTGTGGCTGGACCAGAGGAAGCACTTGTTCTTTCCTCAGACCTGGGACCAGGTATGACACCTCTCTATTCGTATGAACATCACCACAACGCACACAGTATACAGTACCTGCCCTGCATCAACATACTGCCACTCTGTCTGGTTTATTCCTTGTCTGTCTTTTAAGTCCACATGCTGTTTTACCACCTTTCTCTGTTCCCTCTCCTTGATCTTCAGGTGATTTTTTTTTTTTTTATCTTGGTTTGTTTTGATTTGATTTATTTCCACTTTTAGCATCGTTCTCAAGGTTATTTTTTCCCGACAGCACACCTACAGTAGCAGACCACCCTTAGAGACGTCCCATATATCATTTATCTGGTCTGGAAGTCCTTGGTTCTATCTGAGACTACTTGAGCATCTGAGTAACATCTGTGCACTCTAAGTAACCTGTCACACAGTCTGCTCTTTGTACATTATTGATTCAAGATGTCTGCTGTCGCTGTTAAACACTACGATGTTCTTCCACTTTGCTTGTTATCAGGTGGTGGCCATATAACACTGTGTATACTTGTGTGACTGAGAGCAGAGTTTTGTGTTTTGCTTCTCTGTTGTGTAACACTGTCTGTGTTATAAATGACGTACCAAGACACAGTGTTGTCTGGATGTGCGTGAATGTGAGAGTATTTGTGTTTGTGTGACCTCTCTCTCTCTCTCTCTCTCTCTCTCTCTCCTCCTGCTACTGAATGCGGTGGTCTGTTTTCCAGTGGTGGCTGCCTCCCTCCAGTGAAATCAAATCTCTCTTTAGTCAGGCTGTTTATTGAATTAGGCCTTCAGAACACAGGTGTAGTGCCAGCAGAACAGACAACATGGGTCTTTAGACCACCTCAGGCTGCCTGCTTATACTATTAAAGGGCTCTGTGTTGGTTTTGATTTGATTTACCAAGGTCGGTCAACTCTGCAATCGATTTTGCATTGAGTTACTGCGGATTTCCTCTTTGTGGACTAAATGCAACCTCTCTGTGCAAACTGACGCCAGAGGAGAGCTCAGCAGTTGATGCTATATGTCTAATTTAGGCAGTTTCTGAGGAAAAAAAGAAGTTTTGTATTCTGCAAGAAAATAGTTGTGTGTGTTGAACTGGGAGGATAACTGGTTTTATTGTTGTGTCCCCGAGTGTTATTATCGAACTGCTAAACAAGGTGTAACAAAAACATTTGTCACCTTCTTTTTGCTTCTACCGGTGAGAATATTGTGACTGTACAATTGCTTATCCATTTTGCTTATGTTTAGGTGTTATAGCTGATTCATTATATGGATGTTGTGGATGCTAATTTAGGTGAACCAACACTTGTTGTGTTGCACTTCGATTCAGACATGGTAATTTCGTATAGTACTGATTAGTTGATCTTGGACAGTTTGAGGAAAAATGGTTTCATTGCTTTGTCCCAGAGTGTTATTATTATGCTGCAAACGAGGTGATACAAAACATATCTCACCTTCTTTTGCTTCTGCCAGTGAGAATATTGTGACCGAACTGTTTATCCATTACTTTTAGCAAAGTGTTCACGTTCTAACTATTCACTCTCTCTTAATTGCAACATGGTGTTGTATTTCTAAATGAAACTGTAATTTATATTTTATTAGATTAGCTGAGCGACTCCACCATTGTTCCACATAGCCTCTGGCAACTGCAGAAGTGACCCCTGGGGCACAAGTAGTCTTGGTTGGCCATCATTACTGTTAACACGCAAACATCCAACATGAATACACATATGGTCTTTATCACGTTCCTTTTTATTATGAAGTCTTTAAATTTAGGGAGAATTTAATGGAAATTAAAAAAAAACAACAACACACACACACACACACACACACAGGCAAAGCTAATGTATACAAAGTAAATGACCCACAATCCCTGAGAGGCAGCCAACTGAACACAAAACATTATTCTTTGTTAAGGTGACAACCCGCTGTTTGTTCACAGTGCACTTGGACTCATTTGTCACAGTGATTTCTAGGCATTAAAAGCACAGATGTTGGCTGCGATGCTGCCTGAGCCTTTAGCTAATTGCAGAATACCGACTTCTTAGTCACTTTGTCGCAATGAGTTGTTTTTATTTTGCTCTGGTTCTTCAAGGGTTGTTTGGAGGCCAAATAGTGATTCGGTGCAGCAGCGCTATTTGGGGGACCAATGTAGAACTTTAAATGGTCATTTACTTCTGTGTAAAGAATTTCCTGTTGAATCCAAAGTGTTGTTTTGACTAACTCATGACCACAAAAGACCGAGCAAAGCTTGTTATATCCATCCATATCAACCAGAATGTAATGCAGGCGAATGCCTCTTGCAAGTGAAGAAAGATGCATTTAAAACATGCTTCCGATCTTTAAATTGGGCTTGCATGAGGTCTCTAGAGCTTGTATGCTGCCAAGTGCTCACTGATGGATCCTTACTAAAACAAGTCTTTGATCGCAAATGTGAGTTAAGTCTCAGTCAGTTTAAATCTAGTTCTTTCTAAAATACGATGCCCTAGAAACATCAATTTATAGATCATGCATTAAAGTCAAAATAATTGTTTATTAAAGGAATAGTTCGACATTTTGGGACGCAAATTTAGTTAAATAAAAGCTTGTTGTGTGACACTTTATGTGGTGATAAGACAAATGAGATATAGCGTGTTAATTATTGAGCTTTTAGAGGTGCTGGTAGGCAGATTGTTTTTACCTGGACAGATTCTGGGTAGCTGTTTCCAGTCTTTATGCTAAGCTAAGCTAACCGTTTCCTGCCTCTTGTCGTGTTGATCTTCTCTTCACTTTATTGGCAAGTAAACAAGCTTTTTAAGGCGCACAATTACCAACTTCTTGATTAGACATGGTAATTATGTAGTCCTGATTAGTAACTGTGCGTTGTTGTTTGTGTGTGTGTGTGTGTGTGTGTGTGTGTGTGTGTGTGTGTGCAGTTTTACATCAGATGTCCAATCATTGATACCCGAATGAAAACCTTGTGTTTGTCTGATTTTGGTACAAGTGGATTGGAAATGTATTACATTATGTAATCATGATTGTATTATACACACACACACACACACACACACACACACACACACACAGCCTGTGTTTTGCATCTTGGTGCTGTTTTCCCCTGATAAGAGCCATGAGCAGTTGTGTTTTTCTTTGTGAGCACCTGGTCTCTGTGCTGTTCTCATTTCCTCTCTGCTTCCTCACCTCATCATATGTTTTTGTCCTTGGAGTTGCTTTTGCTCCCCTGTTCCCTGAATGGGAAATGAGTTTTAAAGCTCGAGGATGGAGTTGTAGAAATAAGATATGTGGGAATCTCAGTAGAATATGAGTAAAGCTGGAGGTTTTGTTGAACGTATACTTTCATGACAAGTGACGTTTTCCAGAAAGGAATAATGTTTTTCATAAAAATAGGATATTCATCTTATAATTTGCAGTGTGTTTGAACAGCCTCCCTACCTTAAGTTCCATATTAATGACTGAAACATATTCCCCTACTCTAACTCCTAAATACTTGAAGACATTGATTTTCAAATGTAATGTGAAGACAAGAATGCCGACCTAGAAATATTGCTCATTCAATGCATTAATTCATCTAATTAATGCCCCTGCAGGCATAAGTGGTTATCTTTGAATTATAACAGTGATTATTGCAAGAAATTAAGCCGCTCAAGGGAGCTCTTTTGCTGTTTTAATGATTTTCTTTTTTCTCACTTTGTCGAAATAGAAACAATACCATCAAAGTGTTATAGGAGCTTATAGAGATATACGCTCCCTCGTAGCTCGTCCTCTGCTGTAACATTGAGATAGTTTTCCTCTATCGGAGTGGATCTGTGCTGTGTGTCGGTGGCCGTGTCGCCGGGCCTCCGTGTCCTCTGATTAATGACTGTGTCTCTTCTCCTCTGCAGACTGCCGTTCGAGCAAGATGTTGAACAGGGAAACGTGGCCCACTTGGGTGACTGTGACGGTAAGAGGAATGATGAGTCTGTGTGTGTTTTTGTGTGTGTGTGTGTTTGCCCACAAGTGTTAAAGCTAATAGCTCTCTTGTCTGTGCTAAGATCCTTACGTAGCGTGTGTCTCTTCAGGGTAAACAACAATACAGTAAAAGGAGAGGAATAGACTGGTATAGTTTCAGTTTATACACAGGAAATCCGTAAATAAACACAGAGAAAAGTCCCAATCCACCTCAGAGCTCTGTAGTTTCTTACTCGTCCCTAGAGTAGAAACCAATCTGAACATGAAGACGGTCAGCTGGTCTCGTTTTGTCGAGCTGGCAGGAAAATCCCTGTGTATGTTTTAAAGCTAACTTTGTTCTTCCCACTGTTTACTGTCCATACTTGTATACTATCTTTGCTTTGGTCCGGTAGGTTTTGTTCCAAATACATGTGGTTAATTATATTCCACTTCAGCTTAAATTCCCCTTGATGTTTCCCCTCTCTCTCTCTCTCTCTCTCTCTCTCTCTCTCTCTTCTGAAAATAGAAGTGGTACACAGCAGAGCGAAAATCTCTATTCCAGATACACAGAGGTTTTGGATACTCCCTTGACGCCCCCCCTCTCTCTTTGATCTGAGCGCTAATTCCAATGCGTGCAAATTAATCCTTCACTTCTGAAAGTTCCCCGAGTTCATGTGCCGTGCTCCCTGAGAAAAGAACAGATAAATATTGCATAATCAGAACCCGCGAACAGCTCTAATCCAGCAGTTTGATACTGCTCTTTCATTTCAGGTCCTCTGACCACCAAAACCAAGGGGGGGGGGGCTCTGTGATGGTTTGATGCTCACGCTATGCATGGTGAAGTTAAGATAGTTATCTGTCTCCATTGATCACATGTGTAGCCCCTTATAGAACATGTGGTGGCGAGTTTAGTCCTGCTCTGAAAAACCCAACAGATCAGGTTGTGCATGTATCCTGCTTTTAATTCCTGCAAGTTAGTGTTTGTAAAATAACACAAACTGGAAGAAAAATCTGATATTCATTCTCCGCAAGGGAACTACACTCCAGAAAATACTGTGTTGTGCAGGAAGCTTGTAATTAAAAAAATACAACTTCTATGATCATTATTGTACTCCACCAGCGGGTGAGAGAAGACCATAATTACTCTTGGTCAGTGCTAATGGAGTGTCTGACAAGCTCTAGTTTTGTATCCTCTTTCTGCACTTGTTATATCTTGACCAATGGTTCAAGGTCTCGGAAGGTCAGAGAAAGTAATGGCACCAACACTGAAGAATGACTTTCCACTCACCGCACACTGTAGATCATCGCAGCGCCTTTTTTTTCCAGAATGTGCCGTATGCTCTCTACCAACTACAGGACTGCTACAGCGATTTAATATTACATTTGCATAAAGTTGGGGGACTTGTGAGAAATAAATCAAAGAAAACAGAAAGCAAATAAATCTACCCAGTCAACAAACGCTGCCTTTATCGCTTATTTCCTGTATTTAATGCCGTGCTTCATGCACCTGAAACTTTGTGTGAGGTGGAATATAAAAGCTGAGTGTTGCGTAATTTGTTTTGGCTGGGTGATCTAAATTGACAACATATATTGCCAATTTGAATGTCAATGTTACATTACAGCTACTATTTAAGTTCATTGTGAGTCATTCATTTCAATTTCCTTGACCGAAAGCAGCAGACCTACCCATTTCTATATGAAAAGGCAATATGCCAGCTCTTAGTTGAGCCTAAATTATTGTTTTCTTAAATTATATCACCAAAAGACAATTCCTTTACAATTTACAGTAAGATTATTAGAATTACATTCACAATAATCACCCAGCTTTGGTTTACTCCAGACATTTTTTTCTTGTCATATTTAACTTAATGAAACATGTTCTACCTTAGCGATACACAATCAATCTATACAATAGAGATGTACGGTCCTGCTCCCTGGTCCGGCCTTTGACGAATTTCTGAGCTCTGCATGTGCCGGCGTCTGATCCAGTCATGAAATATACCCGAGTTGCACTCTGTTGACGGGAGGTGAGACGAGAGCTGCTGGGTTGACATGGCAGGAATGTGAGGCAGCATCTTTGCCGAAGGCTGCCACTTAGACAGCACTTTGTCTCCGATGTTGTGATGACCTCGGTCTATTGGCCTAGCCTATCATATCTCTTCTCTTATTTGACACTTTCATTGTCTCGGATACGGATGATTTCCTCAGTGTTTCCTGTTCCTAGTTAACGCTGAGATCATCTCTCTTTGTCGTCCCGTAAGACTAAGATTCTTCCAGCCATCTGAAAAGACAATATTCAGTTAGAGGAAGACAAAGAGGCGCAGCTTGAGCTTGTTATGACAAACTGTCACTGACGCTGTTAAGACTTTAAAAACGGCCTCTTTATATGCGTCCGTCAGCATCTTTCTCTGTAATTCTCTCCACGTGGCTCAGTCCTAATGTACACGGGACACATACTGTACATCTGTGTACTGACAAGCACACACAGGTGCTCACACACACCAGCACAAACTCTTCAGGGACCTGGATCGGTGGAATAGACTGAAGGCTTTTGGTTGCTGAATATTTCATATCGCTATATTAAACTCATTGCACATGTCTGTATCTTGACCCAGCAGATGAGCGGGGAGATAAGGTGTTGGCCTGTGTACCTCTCTTTGGGGAAATTCAGCAAACTCATTTCCACCCTCCCTTTGTTTACCTTTTCCCACAAAGAAGAGTGTATGTTTTCGATGAAACTTCATACAATCTTCAGCAGTCGGTGATCCTAAAAAAACAGCTTTTTAAATCATGATTTTTAATCAAGATTGTGGTTAGGCATGAGGTAACAGGAAATGTTAAAGGCCCTCTCAACCCGGAGGTTTTGGTGACTCTGCATCACAAGATGATTAATATGGCAGGAAAGCAGTAACACATTGTTCTTTTACATACATTTTACTTTATTCTTTCCTTTTTCTCATAAACTACAAGCTAAGCTAATTTGACCTCTTCTGGTACCTAACAAGTTTTCAAATACAACAATGTCAGACGTTTACGAGGGAAAATTCCTCTTTGGTTGAACTACGAAAAACTCATGTACATATGTATGTATACTATCTGATATGAGGTTACAAATAGACATATTGTTTAAATATGCGTGAAACATTTTTCAAAGAAATTGTTTCTGGTAAGTTGACAATGATGCTACGACTGAAACGTTGTACATATGTCATAAATGGATCTTTTTTTTATGTCTGAACCTCTTGAGAGATCTCAGAGACGTGGGTCTGAAAACCTGGCACAATAAAACGCAAGTGAGAATTAGGTTGTCAGTAATTTAAATGAACTGGCCCTTTAAGGTTGAGGTTAGGCTGGTTATATTCCGATTTTTTATGCTAGTTTTGGCTTTGCAGCCAAGTCATTTATTGTGCCCTAGTCTTTGCTCCTGTGCTGCTCCAGTGCCTCTCCTCTCCACCATGTTTCATCTCTCTCTCTCCAGTCCCAGTCAGTGCTCCACTTATTCCACAGCAGCCTTGTCGTCAGACCTCAAAGCAAGATGGATGGACGGCCTTACTTAGAGCCCAGCTAACGGCCTCCCCCTTCCTCCTTAGCCAAAGAGAAGCGGCTGCTGGAAGGAGAATCGATTTCCATCTCTCCTCTGGCTGATGGCAGTCGAATAGATATCAAGGGTGATTCTGCAAAGGGGAGAAGGAATGGAGCTGAGAAGAGCGGGGATGGGGAGATGAGGCCGGGTAAATCAGATCAAGGAGTAGAGAGCGGAGTGAAAAAGAGATTGAGAGATCATAGGAAGAAGGCAAACTTTGAGGACGGAACGGGTGAAACGGTTCAGAGGATCAGAAGTGTAAAGTCAAAAGGGTGAATAAGAAAATAAAAGGAAAGAGAGAACCGAAAGAGCGAGGTCAGGGGAGGAGAGAAAGGCGAGGCGGTAGGATAATCACATAGGAGAGTGGGGAAAAGACGAAAGGTGAGGGTGGATGAAAGCTTAGAGAATGGTGGGAGGTTCAGGGAAGTGCGAGGAGAGGGTGCACGGCCGGGCCGGTGTGACAAATAGACTGAGAGTGCCACCGGCGTCTCCTGTGTCACAGCGCTGACACTGGCCTCCTCAGTGGGCTTGTGGCCAAGCTGTAATTCTGTCTAGGTGATGTGAACTGCCTGCCTCACACCCTCTCAATCTCTCTTTTCATATATCACAGAGCTGCTGCCCTTCTCCTAACTTCACACTAGTATCAACTTTTTTATCTTTTGCATCATTCGGTTCTTCCTATTTTGGCATAAAAGTGGATGATGGCACCTTTGCTAAAAATCTAACGTGGAAAAACTACATGAAGAAGTGGAGTGTAGCTAAGGTTATTGCCTTGTTGTTGTAAAGATCACCCCCAAAACACACACACACCAAATAGTAGTATGTAGACACATGCCGTTGCTCTAAACCCTCTCTGATCAAAGCAGAGTTTGGAAGCACAACGTCTAATGGAGACGATGTGTTGTGGGAGGGACAAAGATGATGAAAAAGATGAGGTCAGAGAAATGACTGGGTTAAATTATGTGCGTGTGTGTGTGTATGCGTGCGTGTGTGTGTGTGCGTGTGCGTGTGTGTGTGTAGGTCTATTAGCCTATGTGCTCTACTTTCTCTCAGGTGCTAAAGCAAGCTAATTTCATTGTTGTTCGGTAATTTTGTAGGTCCAAACAAACACACTTGCGCCGAGGGGGGGTGAAGAGACTCAGCCGTTCTGACATGTAACTTTTGCATTTGCACCTGCTAAGGCCACATTTTATTGCAAACACATGCACAAAGAGCAATTTTCAAGGCTTTAGTATCCGCGCAGCACGCACAGAAAATCCCACAACGTTCATGCACTTTGAGTTTCACCTCTTTAACTTTGACACATCTTTCAAACACACATCAAAAGACACTTTTCAATGTTGTGCTTCAAGGATTTTAGGATGAAATGTGAAGTATTTTCCCTTACCATCATAAAGCAGCTGGAATAATGTTTGTTCCATCTTTAGTCT